TATTTCTGCCAAAATGTCCAGCATGGCCTCTCTATAGCTGATTATGCTAGATGGTGCCATTTCTTCTGGAAGAGAAGGAGGGGTGTCTCTCCTCTGAGTCATTCAGCAATCTGTGTAACTTCATCCCGTTGTGGTTTAGATTTCTTTCCCAGCCCAGCTGTAGAGACCTACAGCTGGAAGATTTCCCCACATCTCCTGCCTGTATAATTTTGGATATCCATTACACGCTGTTCTTGTGACAACAGTCACCAGGACAAATAAGCGGGTGAATCTGCCCAGCTGGGGCACAGACGGCAATAGAAAACCAGACAGGGTTCTAACCCTGACCCCTCTTACCTTTAGATATACTTTGAGGCTCTCTTCGCACCAATGCGTTTTTTAGTGCTTTTTGCAGAAACGCACTACAGTCCATTTAACATGGTTTCCTATGGAGTATGTTCACATCTATGCTTTTATGAGCTGCTGCATTTGTTGGTTAAAGGATCAAGAATCAGCAGATTTTTTGCTATCAATAGAGTTCAATGGAGATCAGAGAGCCCAAGAATAATGCCAAATGCTTGTACTGCATTCAATAGGGTTTTTGCCAACAAAGGTTTTGAAAGAATGAAAAAAAAATGACCATGTCCAAAGATGGCGCCAATGCGGCAGGAAATGCTGTAGCCCCTAAAAACGCGTTTCTGCGAAGCAAGATCATAGGGTGGTATCATTATTGGCTTGGGCTCTCTGCAAGTCTCACCATTCACAAAGGCCGGTTTAGAAGTGTCCTGAGACAGTGATACCATTTGAGGGGTCCTTAAAGGCACAGGCACAGGAACCTGACCATACCTGGAAGCAATTGTCCTGGCTGACCCAATGAGATGATTATGATCGCAAATGCGTTTTGATAGCGCACTTCTGGTGAGTGCGCAATTCACTTATTTCTTATCTTTTCATCACATCACCGATTCTAAGGAACTGAACTCCTAGAATTAAGATCTGATATGACCTACAAGTCTACAATCTGGACTTATTCTTACTGACTTACGCTTTAACCACTTACTTGTGGTAGAATACCACTGTCTGCACCTTAAAAATATTGTACTTATATTGCAGGAAAGTATGACAGTTCTGTTTATGTAGTGACATTTTGATGTGGCTTTACACTCTCTGGCACTCAAGTAGCATCAAAGTAGCATCCAAGATGCATCCAAGTCACACCCATCCACAGTTGCATTAAAGTTGCACCCAAAATTACACTTATCCAAAGTCACATCAAAGTCGCAACAAAGTGGCATCAACGCCAATACTTTCCTATTGGCAACCCCCCCCCAAAAAAAGTAAACATTCAAAAATGCAAAACGCACTGCAAAAACACATCAATCGCAACATGAGGAGGTGTGAACCTAGCCTCAAGGCAATGAGGCTAATGCCTCTTGTACAGAAGCACTGGGTCCAAAACCCATTAGGAATTTCTATGCTCTCTCCGTGTAGATGAACTCTTAGGCCTCATGCACACTGGATGTTTTTACAGTGGTTGTTTTTGGCTTTTGACGCTTTTTCTACAGCCAGTAAACTCCCCAGCATGTCCATGCACACACAGGCTTTAATCAGCATTTTTGGCTGGAAAAAATACCCAGAACTAGTGGGTTTCTAGAGGAGTTTTTTATTTGTAAAAGTGCTCTAATTCAGATAAAAGCTGAAAAATGCTAAAAAAAAAAAAGCCGCTATCTGGTGTATATGAGTGTGTTTGAGCCTCCAGCTCTTGTGGGAGTATAGTTTTGCTACAAAAAAAAATGCTGAAAAATGCAAATGCTAACAAAATGCTGAAAAAAGCTAATGCAAAAAAGCTATAAAGTGTGACAATACTCGCGCTTTTTAATGCAGCATTCTACAGCTAATACTAATGGCATTTTTATAATATCCAGTGTGTATGAGGCCTTACAATCTAAAATATAAAATGATTAACAAAATTGGGATTTGAATTTAGTATCTTTAGTAAAGCATTAAAGCGGAGTTCCGGTCCCCATAAAATTTCTTTTAAAAAAAACTCCCCTGTAATCAGGGAGGAAAAAGTATGTGAGGCCCTAGCTTAATGACTTCTCCCAGAACTAATTGGAGCCAGGAGTGAGCCAACCTTGACTCCAATCAGTATGATGATATTGGATGTGTTGCTGACAGCTGTCCTGCCCTTAAAAAACACACACCTGTTTTGGGTTTACTGGTTTCAAGAAGCACTGTCTGATGTGAATCATGCCTCGCAGAAAAGAGCTCTCAGAAGACCTACGATCAAGAATTGTTGATTTGCATGAAGCTGGAAAGGGTTATAAAAGTATCTCCAAAAGCCTTGATGTTCATGTGTCCACGGTAAGACAGACTGTCTACAAATGGAGAAAGTTTAGCACTGTTGTTACTCTCCCTAGGCGTGGTTGTCCTGTAAAAATGACTGCAAGAGCACAGCGCAGAATGCTGCATGAGGTAAAGAAGAATCCCAGAGTGTCAGCTACAGACCTACAGAAATCTCTGGCACATGCTAACATTTTTGTTGACACATCTACAATAAGGAAAACATTAAACAAGAATGGAGTACATGGGCGGCGAACACCATGGAGGAAGCCATTGCTGTCCAAAAAGAATATTGCAGCACGTTTGAAGTTTGCAAAAGAGCACCTGGATGTTCCACAGCACTACTGGCAAAATATACTGTGGACAGATGAAACCAAGATTGAGTTGTTTGGGAAGAACACACAACACTATGTGTGGAGAAAAAAAGGCACAGCACACCAACATCAAACCTCATCCCACTGTAAAACATGGCGGAGGGAGCATCATGGTTTGGGGCTGCTTTGCTGCCTCAGGGCCTGGACGGATTGTTGTCATTGATGGGAAAATGAATTCCAGAGTTTATCAAGACATTTTGCAGGAAAACGTACGACCATCTGTCCGCCAACTGAAGCTCCACAGAGGATGGGTGATGCAACAGGACAATGACCCAAAGCATACAAGTAATTCAACAAAACAATGGCTGCAACAGCACAGAATACGTCTTCTGGAGTGGCCCAGTCAGAGTCCTGACCTCAACCTGATTGAAATGCTGTGGCATGACCTTAAGAGAGCGATTCACACCAGACATCCCAAGAATATTGCTACAATGAAACTGTTTTGTGAAGAGGAGTGGTCCAAAATTACTCCAGATCATTGTGCAGGTCTGATCTGCAACTACAAGAAATTTTTGGTTGAGGTTATTGCTGCCAAAGGAGGGTCAACCAGTTATTAAGTCCAAAGGTTCACATACTTTTTCCTCCCTGCACTGTGAATGTTTATATGTTATGTGCAATTAAACATCTAATGTTTGTGTAGTATTATATTCAGCAGACTGTGTTCTTCTATTGTTGTGACTTAGATGATGTTCAGAGCACATTTTATGCCCAATTCATGCAAAACTCCACATAATCCCAAGGGGTTCACATACTTTTTCTTGCAACTGTACCTCGCTGCGGTGAGGTTAAACGGAAGTGTGGGGTAATACACAAAAAAAAGATATCTAAACCTTGAAAAAAAAAAAAAAACATACCTAACTTTTAGCCCTGGTTCACACTGATGCGGTGCGGAATTTGCAGCGTTCTCAGTGAGATAGCACCCAGTTCATGTGAGCTACTGGGGGTGTGAATGTTAACCATCTCCCGACTGGCCGTTGTATATAAACGGCCAGATGGTGGCAGTGCAGGGGCAGGTGTCTATTTATAAATGGCCTCCCCATCCCTTGCTTGTGCATGATCCGGTGCCCGCTGTGTCCTCCAGACACAGTGGAATACCGATCGTCGTATGGGACCTCTATACGAGGTCCCGATCATGTGATCACTGATATCTGTGAATGATCACAGAGGTCACATGGCACAAGGCTATTCACAACAGCCTTGTACCATGTGACAACCTGTGACCAATCACAGCTCACACAGTATTTCTCAATGGCTGCATGAATGCAGCTAGAGAGAAGGAGAAATGATTGCTTTTACAGCCTTTATGGGTGTAAAAGCAATCAGTGTAAAAAAAAAAAAAAAAAAAAACTTCATCACCCACCATGGTGACATTGTACTGCTAGGGTGACAGTATGTAAAAAAAAAACCAAAAAAACACAAATAATAACATAAAAAATTTAAATAAAAATGTAAAAAATAAATTATAAAAATTATAATTTTTGGTTATAGACTAATTTGGGTTATTTTTTTTTACTAAAAAGATAACTGAACAAGATTTATGATGAAATATTATTTATTTGCAAAATTTTATAAGAAAAACACTTTTTTCAAATTTTTTGGACTTTTTCTTTTATATAGCAAAAAAAATAAAAATCCCAGTGGTGAATAAATACCACCAAAATAAAGCTCTATCTTTCTCAAAAAAAATGCTAAAAAATTCATATGGGTACAGTGCATGACCGCGCAATTGTCATTCAAAGTGTGATTTGGCCTGGACAGGAAGGAGGTGAAAGTGTCTGGACTTGAAGTGGTTAACAACACCCTGAAATCGGTCTGCAAAACTTGGTGTGATGTGCAGAATCGGATCGCATAGGTGTGAATACCCATGCGATACGATTCTAGTGCGGACCAAAAAAGGGTCCTGGAAATTTTTGGTGCAGATGCAGTGCGATTAGAGCCATACAAAATGTATGGCTCCAATTGCACCACACAAATCGCATGTGATTTGCACAGGAATGCAGTGCAGTTCCTGTGCGAATCACATGCGATATACCGCACCGGATATATGTGAACCCGGGCTTACTGGCATACATCAAGGAACATTTTAAAGGAAACTTAAAAAAACGGGTGGAACTCCACTTTAACCACTAGCCTACAGGACACTTTCATCCCCTTCCTGCCCAGGCCAATTTCCAGCTTTCAGCGCTGTCACACTTTGAATGACAATTGCGCGGTCATACAACATTGTACCCATATGAAATTTTTATCATTTTTTTTAGACAGATAGAGCTTTCTTTTGGTGATATTTAATCACCTCTGGGATTTTTATTTTTTCTTAAACAAACCAAAAACCACTGAAAATTTTGAAAAAAAAACGTTTTTTCTTAGTTTTTGTTATACAATTTTGTAAATATGTGATTTTTCTCCTTCACTGATGTGTGTGCTAATGAGGCTGCAGTGATGGGCACTGATAGGCTGCACTGATGGACACTGATGAGGAGGCACTGGTAGATTGCACTGATGGGCATTGACAGGCATCACTGATGGGCACTGAAAGGCAGCACTGATACATGACACCGATACATGACACTGATATATGGTACTGATAGGCGGCACTGATAGGCGGCACTGACTGGCACTGAAAGGCGGCACTGACTGACACTGATAGGCGGCACTGACTGGCACTGTTAGGCAGCACTGATGGCGGCACTGACTGGCACTGATGCACACTGTTAGGCGACACTGACTGGCACTGGTAGGCGGCACTGATTGGCAGCACTGATAGGTGGCACTGATTGGCATTGATAGGTGGCACTGACTGGCACTGATGGGTGACATTGAAAGGCAGCTCAGATGGGCACTGATATGTGGCATTGATGTGCATTGGTAGGCACTGATATGTGGCATTTATGTGGCACTGATGGGCACTGGCACGTGGCACTTCTGGGGCCACAATGATCATCAGGGCACACTGATCATTAGTGCCCTGATGATCAGTGTACATGTCCCCATCGCAGAAAGCCGATTACCGGCTCTCCTCTCGAGCTGTCAGCGTGACAGCTCGAGAGGAGAGAAATGCCGATAACCGGCATTTCCATGTTTACATGTGATCAGCTGTGATTGGACACAGCCGATCACATGACTGAGCCGACATCTTCGGCTCTTTCCGTGATCCGCTGTGTCCGAGGGACACAGTGCACCGGGGATCGCCCTGAGCTGCGCATGCGCAGTGAGAATGGTAGGACGTCATATGACGTCCTATCAGAACGAGAGAACCACTTTGCGCCTGTCATTGTACTATAGGGCGGGCGGAAGGTGGTTAAACACACTACAGAGGATTGCTGAGGAAACTCAGGAAACATCCAGGCTTCTCCACAAGTTGCTGTAGTTTTAGATCCTTCTAGTAAGTTTTGCTCTATTATTCTTTTTTTTTTTTTTTTTTTTAGTTTTGCAACTAAATTACATTGTGGTGTTTTTTTTTCTGCACTGACCACTATAGAAACACAGGCCAGATGCGTTCTGGATGCTTTTTGAATGCACATTTTTTATGCGTTTTTGGCGCATTCCGGTGTGTTTTTGATGCGCTTTTGACGCGTTCCTTATGCATTCCAGTTCATTTTTCCCCCTCTCTTTTTCTTCAATTTGAATAGGGACATGTGCGTTCTAGTGCGTTTTTGGTGTGTTTTGGTGTGTTCCGGTGCATTTTTTGATGTGTTTTACAACGTTCCAGTACAGTTCTGTGCAGAAAAAAATGCAACATGTTCTACTTTTTTTTTCTGCACCCGGAATGCACTTGAACTGCAAGCACTGATGTGAACTATGACATTGACAACCATATAACCTACTTTCTGTGAGTTTTGGATGCAACTGACACGCATGTAGTGTGAAGTGGCCCTAAAGGTAAATAAAGTAAAAATAGCATGTATCCTCCGCATTCCAGGCCTATAAAAGACTGTTCTTGTTCCGTCTCTCTAAGTTTTACCATTTCCTCTGCTACTAAAACAAGACAAATGGTCCCTCACCGATTTCCTCCCAAGAACAGTTTGTAAATGTATTTATTTTTCCTCAGACATTTGCTGCTACATTTTCTTCGACCTTTTGGCTTTGCGTGCACTTTATTGAGGTCGCGGCCTTTGCAGCCTGAGCATGTTCTGCCATTTTGGCTTCCCCTACCCTGCTGCTGACATAACAGGACAACAACAATTTGAGTGTCAGGATTACACGTGCTCCCTCAGACGGGCAAATTTTGACACCCTCATGGTACAGCCACACTCCACAGGACGGATGCATCCTGTCACGATGACAAAATGGCTTCTTTAGTGTCTGTCAGCCAGTTACAATTTATACATCCGTAAAATTCTGGCCCGGTCACTGGTTTTATGGGGATATGAGGGAAGATATAGATTAGTCAACAGTCCTTATGTTCTCCATTGACATTTCGTGCCCCCCCCCCCCCCCCCCCCCCCCCCCCCCCCCCCCCCCCCCCCCCCCCCCCCCCCCCCCCCCCCCCCCCCCCCCCCCCCCCCCCCCAGCAAGCTGTGTTGTTCTTGGGCCTTGGGCCTCTAGGCGCTGGATATGCGCTGACAGGCCTTGACAACAGTAGAAATAATAATGTTGATATAACTAGCTGCAGATAATAGGAATGCTGGTGGACTATGAACAGATGAAAGAAGGGATTATATCTCTGTGATGTTGACAGTAGTTAATTATGGTAAAAATATGTGAATGGATGTTACATGCATGGTGATACCATAGCTGCCATGACTACCTTGTGTAAGGATAACACTGCTGGATAATTAGAGCCTTCCCTGTACACACGTGCATTTTTCATCTGGCCCAAACTTCACAACGTTCGCAAATAATGTTAGGCAAGTGGTCACAGTGCCTAAAATTCCCACTAGCAGGTATTTTCAATGAGTGGACCCCTGATGTGTAAGAACATGGAGGCCATGATAAGGTGACACCAGTTTTCTGGCTGCGTCAGGAAACCACACAACAGGGTACTTAGCCCACACAAGGTAATGGTACCCAGCACACAACCATAAGGGGAATATGCACTTATAAAAGTGGAGTCTCTGAGTTGAAAGTAGACATGTGCCGAACGAAAAAAAAATGTGTTTCCTTTTGTTATTCAATTAATTTTGTTTCGGTAAATTGGTTAAGTTTGTTTAATTAGTTTTCAGAATTTGTTTCATTTATTTGTTTTCAAATTCAATTCAGATTTATCAGGTTTGGTCAAAATTGAATTCAATTTGACCGAATCGAAAAGTATCAATTTCAAATTTATTGTTTTTGAAATTCAAACTGCAGAAGATGGTTATACTCTATTTTATTCTATTGTTTTTCTGTTCTATTCCATTATTTTATTTTCTATTCTTATCTATTCTATTATAATAAATTCTATATGAATTCAAATTAATTCTGTTTGAAATTCGAATTTTGGAAGACGACTATATTCTATGTTATATTATTATTATTATTATACAGTATTTATATAGCGCCAACAGTTTGCTCAGCACTGTACATTATAGTGGGGGATAGTACATGAGACAATACAGTAACAATACAATGCGATACACGAGGGGTTCGAGGGCCCTGCTCCTTGGAGCTTACAATCTAGGAGGGAGAGGATAGTGTTACAGGAGGAAATAGCTGTAGGGGATGGAGTGGTAGGAAGAGTGGAGGAGATCGGCAATTAGCTGAGGTCGGGGTAGGCTTCCCTGAAGAGGTGGGTTTTCAGGGTGCGTCTAAAGGAGAGGAGAATAGGTGATAGTCTGATGGATTGGGGTAGGGAGTTCCAGAGGATGGAGAAGTCCTGGAGATGGGCATGGGAGGAGGAGACCAGGGAACTAGAGAGTAGGAGGTCTTGTGAGCGGAGAGTCCGTTTTGGGTGGTATTTGGATATCAGGTCGGTGATGTAGTTTGGGGTGGTATTATGGACAGCTTTATACGTCAGTGTTAGCATTTTTAATTTTATCCGTTGGGCAATCGGAAGCCAGTGGAGGGATTGGCAGAGGGGGGTGGTGGATACGGAGCGGTTAGTAAGGTAGATGAGTCTGGCCGCAGTATTCAGGATAGACTGAAGTGGGGATAGCCTGTGTTAAGGTAGGCCAGTGAGGAGGGAGTTACAGTAGTCAAGTCGTGATATGATGAGGGAGTGGATGAGCTGCTTAGTAGTTTCTGGGGTTAGGAACGGGCGTATTTTGGAGATGTTGCGGAGGTGGAGTCTGCATGAATTTGCCAGCAATTGGACCTGGGGCTGGAAGGACAGATTGGAGTGTAGGATGACACCAAGTACTCTGGCTTGCGGGGTGGGACTGATGGTGGTATTGTTGGTCGTGATGGAGAAGTCAGGGGGGGGCGTGGGCTGGGGGGAAAACTAGGAGCTCGGTTTTGGAAAGGTTCAGTTTGAGGAAGTGGAGTGACATCCAATTTGATATGTCGTTCAGTAGGCTAGTGATTCGGGCGGAGAGTGAAGGGGGGAGGGGTAGAGAGATAGATTTGCTTGTCGTCAGCATAGAGATGGTAGTTGAAGCCGTTATATGTTATAGTTTTTTTCTGTGCTATTCTTTTCTATTCAGATCTATTCTATTCTTTTCTATTCCTTAATTTCCTATTCTATTTTATTCTCTTCTTTTATTTTCTATTCTATTCTGATCTGTTTTACTCAATTTTTTTTTATATTCTATTCTTTTTGTTTCTACTCTATTATTCTCTATTCTATTCTTTTAATTTCTATTTTGTTTTATTCTATTCTTGCTTGCAAATTCAATTTCGTTTTTCGAATTTGATTAGAATTTCGGCCGAATTTAAATTTTTTATTGTTTCAGATTCATTTAAATTTGTTATTATTGTGAATCGCATAACGAAAAATGTTTCCAAATTTTAACTTCGGAAGGAAATCCCGCACATGTCTAGTGGGAAGATATCTTGAAGACTCCAGCTTTAAGGAGAGTAGGATGTCAAGCAAAAAAGTGAATGCAAAAAGCAGAAGAAATGACATTAAACAGACATTTGAGGTGTCTCTAACCCACACAGCACTGGTTCTTTTTACTGCAGGAACTTCAGACCTTTGGTAATGTAAGTATTCTGCAGAAGTCGGAAATGCAAGTAACAGCTAGGTTAATGTTAGGGTCAAGGATTGGGGGATGAATTTAAATGGAACTTCTAGAGATTTGGGGGTTAGATTTTATTGTTTGGCGGAAGGGAGGTTAGGTGATAACTTTAAGTCACTGGGTTTAAAATTGCGCGATTTTTGTGCAATTTCAGTGCAATTTCTGAAGACGTTATTGCTATTGTGAAGATTTTCAACGATTTCTTGCAATTCGAAGTGCAATTTCCATTATATTCTATATATGTGAAATCGCAACAAAACTGCAGAAAAAGTAATGCAAGCACTACTTTAGAAATCACGCTGCAGCAAATTGCACATGTTAAGATACTGATATTCACATTCATTACATGCGATTTCAGGTGCGATTACTATTCACAGATCTCACCTGAAATCACACCGGTACTTAAACCAAACTTAAGACACCTTCATTTATAGGGTTCATGCACACAGGTGTTTTTGGATCTATACTGTGCACAGTTTTACATGGATCTTAATGCTGCAGAATTGTCTTGTGGTCAGTATTCCCCCTGTAGCAGTGAGCTGTGTAAACCTAATGTAGAAACTTTGTGTTCAGTATATTGTATATCATTACCGTGTTGAATAGGGAGCCATCTATTGGGCATTCACTGCAACTGCACCCTTATTATTAAAGAACAGGAAGTGTTTCTGTTTGTTAAAATAAAGATTTCCCATCTGCCACTGCAAAGCCATTTAGATTCCTGAAGACCGCCAGTGAAGGCCTCCATTCTCCCTTTGATACACATATGCCTGTAAGTTCTTTATTTTGCTTGTCAAAGATAAATACATAGCCAGATCACATTTAAATGTATTCAGTGTGATTTGTAGGCAGCTGTTTGCAAGTAATGTGTTCTTTGTATGCATTTGTAATAGACATGTGTACAAACATATTGTAAGTTTATGTGATTGTATTTCAGTTTTACTATTCACAGAAGTAAATTCAGTTTTGGAATGAAACACAATGCTACATCTGTTAGTTTTGTTAGCTAGCTGTCAGCTAACTGTTAGTAGGCCAGCATACTTTGCACTTTGCATTTAGAACATTTTTTATGTGGTACACATGTAAACATTAGTGCAAACGTTTATGTGCATAGCACATAAATAGGCATTGACACGTGCCACTGCTGCCTAGTGTTTATGTTTACATCTCCCTATGTCCCTGAATGAACCATACACTAGCAAGTGGCACAGGTGCTGGATAACCTTGGCCTTTAATCAGTCAGAACGACTAAAGGGCAAGGTCAT